TTTTTATTTTTTTCGATGCTTTTTGTAATATTTTTTTTTCAATGAAAAAATATGACTTTGTTACCTTTAAACATTTAATTATTTTATTTTTTAAAAACTGGAATTTCTAAAAGATCCATTTTTTAAAGGAAAAATAAATACGAAAAGTAACCGTAACATAATTGTTTTTAATTTTTTTTTTTTTTCAATTTCCATGCTTTTCGTTGAGTGCAAAAAGTCAACTCTAATATCTCTATACCTTTTAACTATTTTTTTAAAAAATTTCTTATTTATTTCGGTGCAAAGAGCTAACTCTAATATGTATAAATATTTCAAAAAAATTTTTGTTATAAAAATGCAACTCTTGAAAAATCGCGCTTTTATAAGGTAAAAAATTCCGAAATGCTCCAGATTTGCCTTTTTTTATTGCTGTTCCACTTAAAGGTTGCTTAAAATCAACATACTTATTTTCCATGCCATTATGCGCATAAATGTTTAAAAATTTAGAAATTTATTGATAAAATAAAATTTTATTTATAAAAATGTATTTAAAAATGTAATATGATATTTGACGTCACTGTAATCAAATAACTGTTCGTTAACTTATTCTGTTTTACTTAATTTTAAAGTAATTTTTAATATTTATATAAAAAAGGGTACTAAATTCCATAAAATATTAACTTTTGTGTCTGAAAATTATTAATTGATGATGTGATTATTGTGCTTTGTGTACTTCTTATTTTTTTACTTTGTTAAAAACGGAAAAAAAACTTTTATATTACATATCTTGTCATAATTGTTTTACAAAGAAAAGTAAAATGCTCAATTGCGCGAAGCACATAAAGAATTTTTTGTTAGAAATAAATTGGAAATATTTAATAGAAAAATCTTCCTTTTTTTTTGAATTTACACAAAAGCTAACATATTCAAGTTTTCAGTAATCACAAAAATATACCACTAAGTCATCAGTTTCTTGTTTGAAATTAATAATAATTTTTAAAGAGCGTCATATACGTTTCACCAAAAAAAGAAAAAAAAAATTAGCTAAGAAATTATAAATAATTTCGTGGCTGTACAACGCAATCCGTTACGTAGAATTTATTGTATTGACAAATCTTAATCTCAACTGTTTTTTCTAACCTCTTTTAGCTTGACCCAAATAATAAGATAAATATTAGTTAATATTTAATAGATGGAAAAACCCAGCATTTTATTCTAACAGTAATAAAAAAAAACATTGTTTACTAAAAATCAGAAAATAAATTAATAAGAAAATCGCCTAAACATACTGCAAAAATTAAAGATACAAAATTTTTGAGTAAAAATGGAAATATTATACAAGAATTTTTTAAAAAAAGAAGGGGGGGGGTTAAATTATTCAGCAACGTCTGCTGAACTCAGTTGATAAATCGCATCTCTTCCTCGCGTTAATTATTAAACATCATGAAGCTAAAATACGACTTAAAATTATTAAGTTACCCGCTTAAAATAAAAAGCATAATTTGTTTATTTATAAGAACTGTTCGCTTTAAACCTTTCATTTCTGTCCAATTTATAGCTCAGTTGGTTGTTTCAGTTTTTTGTTGCCAACGCGAAAAAGGAAATTTCATCAGTTTTGTGACAACATTAATTACACAAAATATTAATTTAAAAATTAGTCTTTTATGTAGTGTAAATTGGTACCAAAATTTGTAAATATTATCTTTACGAAAACACTCTTTTATTACATAAAATTTGCTACAGTTTAAAATAAAAATTAAAAATGAGTTAAAATAAATAATTTTTAAATTAAGAAAGCTTTTTTTTTCTAATTCATTATTTATGTTGTTGAATACAAAACACGTTGATCTAACAAATATTTTTTTTTTCTTCTTACATATAGGCCTATTTTACATGTATTGACAGATACAGCTCTTTTATGCTTCTATACATATTACATACAGTTTTTCTCAAAATTGGTGAGCGTGAAGTTTTTAATAATTTACCTGCCTTAGCAGAAAAAGCTTATAAGAAAGTAATTTATTGTAAGTAATTAGTAATTAAGAAAGTAATTAAAATAAGTAATTTATAGAAGTCTTATAGAATGGTTTAACTTAAATCAAAAAATTTATTCAAAAATCCATTCATAGAAATATTCCTTGTATTAGCCAAACATTTAGATATGTTTTTAGAACACAGATAGTTCTATTAACAAATAAATATCTATAATTACTTATCTATATCGTTCACTTCAGTCCCAAAGAAAAATAACAACTATCTTCTACACTTTATTTTTTTTTGTACATGCATTACCGATTTTTAAATTACTACTTTTTAATTTTTATTTTATAATATTTTTATCGGCGCACTTGTTTAAAGATTTTGCTCATTAAAGTTTAGATAATCGTTATTTTTAAAATATTCTACAAAAATAATTCGCAAATAAAACCCATTTAAATTAATCTTGCATTTTTAAGATGTTTTTTTAATCTAACTAAATATAAAATTAAAAATCTTGATGGAATTAATAACATTAATAAACAAAGATTCCAATATCTTTGGTAGTTATCAGCATAAAAATTCTAACACTAGCAATAGTTATCATCTCTTCTGACTCTGATTGCATTTTTAATCTTGATTATTATACAGATTTAGAGCCTAAAAATTTAAACTAAAAGTGTNTTTGCTTGCCTTAGCAGAAAAAGGTTATTTTAAGAAAGTAATTTATAGTAAGTAATTAGTAATTAAGAAAGTAATTTATAGAAGTCTTATAAAATGGTTTAATTTAAATCAATAAAATATATTCAAAAATCCATTCATAAAAATATTCCTTGTATTAGCCAAACATTAAATGTTGCTTAAAGTTTTTGCGCATTAAAGTTTAGTTAATCATTATTTTTAAAATATTCTAGAAAAATAATTCGCAAATAAAACCCATTTAAATTAATCTGGCATTTTTAAGATGTATTTTTAAACTAACTAAACATAAAATTAAAGATCTTGATGGAATTAAAGACGTTGCACCAACCAACGAAAATCGTTGAAACATACTGAAGTATGTTTCAACGAATACGACTTTACATGATATGGAACGTTAATAAACAAAGAAGATTCCAATATCTTTGATTGTCATCAGCATAAAAATTTTAGCACTAGTAATGGTTATCATCTCTCTTGATTATTATACGTATTTAGAGCCTAAAAAATTAAACTAAAAGTGATATTCCTGTGTAGCAATATAAAATGCATGACATGACATTGTTGTGCATTATTTTAAGATAAACTTTCAGTTACTGTTTTACAACAATTTAACTATAAATAAACATGCTTAATTTTATTAAATTCTATTTACTTCTCAAATAAATTTTTTGTAAAACTGTGTCTAATCAATAATATATGCAATTAATCAATCAATAAAATCTAATCAAATCAATAATCTATGTACCACAAAATTGGCATTTGAAATTACTAAGAAGTCCTAGTATTAAATTTTTGCCCTATTGCTAAATAATTTCTTTGCGGATACAATTCAACAAGATTTTATAGTAACGGAATATTAAATTAGAATTAATTAATGGATGAAGTTATAATCCTAGCCAAGCCAAATTAGGTTTAAATTTGAATCCAATCTATTCGGGGTCAAATCTATGATCAAAACTGTGTCAATTCAATAAAAAGTATAGTTAAATAACTCTTCTAAATGAATAATTTTAATGCGAAATTCTGTTAATTGCCAAGAAGCAGAAATGATTGAGAGGTAATCGTGGGGTTTGTGAGCGAAGCGAGCAAGAAGTGGAGCCCTAACTCCTTCATTTTAACAGAGAAGAAAACACAAATATAATGTAAATTTTTTGAAAAGTATTTACCGTTGTGACCAAAATTTATCTTTAGAATTTTTTGTTTTTGGAAATACATAGTTTGTCCCATTATTTATTTAATATACACTATCAGAAGCATTAAAAAGTATGAAACTTTTCCAAATAAAATTTATACTGAAAATTTACATAATATTTATTATGTTAAATAATTTTTTTTTAAATATCCTGAGATAGGACTGTGCATTATAAATCAACATCAAGCACAGAAATTAAAGAAAATTGTTTAGTCTTATTAACATATTAAATTATATACTTTTTCATTGTATTAACGAGTATAAATAAGAAGTTTAGTGAAAGAGCATGTCGAGTCATATTCTTCCGGTAAGTTCTTTATTAGGTGAAATTAAGGTGAATTTGGAATAATTAGTTTTCGAATGTATAGAAATATTAGGAAGATTTTTAATTTTTTTTCTTTAAAATTTGCCTTATTTAAAAAAATTTCAAAACAACTCAATATTCTTAAATTTACAGAAAATTTTCTGAAGATTGAAAATTAAAACTTTTTCAAAAGGATACTTTACTATGCTATCTTCAGGACATTTTGTAATACCAAGACATGTCTGAATGAAAGAGCATATCGAGTGATATATTAGTAAATTTCGAAAAATCAGATTTAAAAAGTATATAAACATCAGGAAGATATTCATAATATGAACTAATAATAAAGCTTAAAGAAAATTCAACATTCTATGTTAATGGAAAAAGCTCTGAGACTGGAAAATTTAGATTTATTCAAGATGTCGTTTTACAGGTTTATGAAATTTATTGAAAATGAAAACCTGGCTCAGAGGAAAAACATGTTGTGTGACATTAGTGAATTCGAGAAAACAGTTTTAAAATATATTGAGGATTTTCGCAAGATATTTTTTTTCTTTACAAGAGCCTTATTTAAGAACCTAAAAAAAAGTAATTCTATATTTATACAACCAATCATTTATAAGCTTGAAGATTTGAATGTCTTTGAAACGGCTCTGAACATGTTATAAAATATTAATGAAAACATTTATCTGGCATGAAAACGTTGAGGCTTATTAGTAGAATATATGTTACGACATTTTAATTAATTTGAAGAAAGAAAAAAACAGTTTTAGAATTTATAATCTACTAAAATCTTCAAATAATTCAATAAAATTGAGCTACATAAAAATTGAAGAACAATCTTACCTTCTATAATGATGGGGAGTCCTATCTCTTTGTCGCCTATTTTTGAACCAATTACTAACTTGCGTCAAAGTGAGTCCAGTTTTTTTCGCCAAGCCTCTCTTCTCATCTGGAGTTGGATATCTGTTTTGTTTGTAGCATTCCTTCAAAGCAATCCTGGATTTTTCTTTAAAACAGTATATGGTCTCCTCACCGTCCCAAATTGTTTTTGGAAGAGGAAACTTCCTCCTCAGGCGATATTTGTCCACTGCACCGAGAGGTCTACCACGAATCTTTTCTGCTTCCCTATAATGGGCCTTATACCACATTTGCTGAAGGTCATTGTGATATTGGCAATCAAAATTATGACTTTCCAGAATGTTGTAAAGGTCCTTATAGTTGCCTCTGTGGAAAGCTACCAGAGCTTGACCCCTAAGAACTGATTCGTTACCTCGCAGTAGATCACTAGGCGGCAAAGACCACAAAAACCTCGCAAGTCTGTCAATATCACCACGCTGTTGCAGAGCCTCACACATGCAGGCCACCTGTTCTGGAGAAAAAGTCAGATTCTGACCAGACAACAATTCAGTAAGTTTTGCATTTGGTGACTTGGAAGAACAATAGTCTGTTCGGGTGTTTGTTCCATCACCACTCCCGTGGTTACCAGTGGTATAGTCGATTCCACAGTTGGTTGTAGCAGTTGTACCGCTGGTTGTTGGAGCAGATGCAAGACCAGCCGCAGAACGGGCGTGAAGAGCCCCAGGATGGATTTGGGCGGCGCGCCTTTCGACGGTTGCGCCGTGCTGGCTGCGGGAGACTGCAGCGATGTTTGCCGCGGAAATTCCGGAATTACTAGCATCCAATGGTTCGTTTTGATACCGTAGTGGTTGTGATTGTTGTTGCCTATTTGGCCCACCATAGCAGGCTAATGTTTCAGTCTGTAAATTGGCCATTTAGCATGAATATCTCAAAAGCACAGTTAGCCTTCTTTTCGTAAGATTAAAATCTTAATTCTTCTCAAAACCAATTTGTTCCAAATAACTTTTTTCCCGCAATCTGTTAAACAGATTCAAATATTTAAGGAAGGTTTTAATCATTTCGAAAAAAAAATAAAAATAAATACGTATGAAGATGAAATAATTTACAACCTAAAAATTGACCATAAAGCGAGCAGTGTTAGTGTTTTTTTTTTCAAGCAACTAAAATACATCCAACATAGAATAATATATATAAATTTATAAAAATTATCGTAGCAACCTCACGCATCTTGATTTAAGGCAATAAAAACAAAATGAAGGGTCAAAAATAACAACTAATAAATCTTGGATTCACACCAACTAAGAGATCTCCAATTATCCTCAAAGAAAGGCTCGCAAATAAATTTTAAATTAGATAGAAGGAATTCTCACTCCTAACTGTGAAGTGAACAGCAGGATGAGCAAGTTGCACTTTAATGATGCTCCCAATATCTGGTTGAAGATCTGGTTACGCCAAACACACGGGCGGGACGCGCGGCATTATAGCTTTCGGAAAATGATGGACGTGCGAACGGCGATCAGTTGGCTGGGTTACCGTACCACTAACGATCGCCAGTTTATTGTTGGCGGTATGTTTTCTTGCGCCAATGAGTTAGATTTCGGGCAGGGGGGCTCTAAATTTTCCCGTTTCGAAAAAAGATCATTATTTGAAGATTTGGGGCATTTGTTTTTATCTTATTGAATAATTTGAAGTTTAAAGCTCCTTAATATTTGTTGAGTTAGAGCAGGGATGGGCAAACTTTTTTGGTCGAGGGCCAAAAACCGAGAAAAAAAATGTTTGGTGGGACAAATAAAACTTTCAAAATTTAAAAAAAAAAGCGATATACAAGTTTTAATTTAAATATTTAGTGAGATGAATGAAATTGCGATTTCGTTTTTAAAAGTTCCCTATATTAAGGTTCGAAGCGAGATGTGCCTATTTTACGGAACAAGGCTAAATGCTTTTCTGTTAGTCCACTTCTGAAATGATTCTTTCTAAGGTTCAAAGTTGAAAACTCTTGTTCGCATATATAAGATTAAGCAAACAGAGAGCTGATTTTCAGGGCATGAAATATTAAATTTTGGAAACCAACTTTTGGTAATGATTTGTAAAACTTTGGCATATTTAGAAACAACTGCTTCAGATGAATGTTAGATTGTCCGCTCGTTGGATCTTAAAATGCGTAGTCTGCCAAATGTGAAGTACAATTTACCTATATTAGATTCCTCGAGAAAGACAAACGCTAGTTAGAGCCAATCTAAGACTATTCTATGAAGAACTTCTTTCAACATTTTACCAATTGAAGCTGACTATGCTAACTATTTCCATCAATTTATGTTTTGTAGAACAAAAATAGAGAAAGTAAAAAGGTCATCATTAAAAAAGGAAAAAACAGAAATAATTTTAAATAGTTGACAAGAAAATGGATGTATATTGTTTATGTATATTGCCACTAATCGGCAAATTAAAATTATATCCGCGGGCCGGATAAAACCTTCCGGCGGGCCACAATTGGCCCGCGGGCCGTAGTTTGCCCATCCCTGAGTTAAAGGAATAGTTTGCTAAAATTTAAATACTTCTGTGTCAGGATTCATGAAGTTTTTAAAAAAATTCTGTTTCACTTTTTTGCCGATATTTTCTCATATTCTTAAATTTGGCACTGATAGTAGATTTCAATTTAAGGTCAGATGTTACGTATTTGTATTACACATAACTAGAGAGAAAAACTTATATAAATCTAATTATCTGCTCTGATTTCAGAGATTAACAATTAAATTATAATTTTAAATTAAAATATAAATAAATTACAGTTGCAAAAAAATTTGTTAAGGATGATATCGCAACAATGAATGCTTTCCTGGGATTCGTTGGAAATTTTTTTTAAAGTAAAGGTCAAAGTAACTCTTGGGAAAGTCCGGAGTCGGAGTCAGATTCGATGATTTCAACAACCGACTTCATAGCTCCAATATGAAATTATGCCCAAAACTGAAAGACATGCACCGACAAAATTAAAAAATTAATACAACTAGAAAATTTTCATTTTATTTTTTTATTGGTGACTTTACGTTATTAGATTCAACAAAACAATTTTTTGAATTCGTCCTATCAAAGATTAAGCTTAATCAGAATCATTTGGCATGATGAATGTGACTCGAGGATAAATCATGGTAGTCAAAAATTTTTTAATTTGATGACATCACGGAAGTTGGTGAGCACAGCGAGCAGGAGGTGGAATTATTATTATTTTTTTTTTAAAGTCATTTTGATAAAAAAAAAAGTCTAATTTTATTTCAAGTGTTGATTTTCAACTTTCATAATAATTTAGAAATTGAATTTGCTCTTGAAATCACCTGTTGCTTTTCATCGATTCAAATTATTTGTAAATAAAATGGAAAAATATGAAGAACTTTTATTTTAATTAAGTTATTTTCAGAACTACTGTAAGATTTTATGTTTAAATAAGCCAACCGGCCCGTGTAGGGGGCAGGGAACTGTCCTTGCATCAGAAAGGTTTTGGGTTCGAATCCCGGGCAAGGCATGGATGTTTTTTCCTTCTTCGTACTATCTGTCTTTACTGTGGGAGCGACGTTGGCCCACCTAATAAGGTGCCCCTGTAAGAGAGGTCAACAAAATCGCCCTGTATATGCCTGAATTGACGGATGTTAACACAGGTGAGCATTGGGAAAAAATATTTAAAAAAAATTAAAATCGATATAATGGTACGATTTATTTTAAGCGTTGTTGTTGATACTATATTAAGTTTATATTTCAAATCACGTTTTGTTTTTCAGTGTCCCAATAAGTCAAACTCTTTAATGCGTTTTTTTACGACTTTTAACAAACTTTTAATTTCAAAAACAGGTCCCTACCTTCAAAATGTTTAAAACTAAGGGGCATTTAAAAATTAGCCACTCCTCGCTTAAAATTGAAGAAAGAAAAACACTTCTACCCAAAATTACACTTCAAATTGCAATAATGAATTATGAAACAAATACATATAATAATGAGGTATGATAATGTGCATTAAATTCTGAATTAACAAGTTTTTTGTTGTAAAAGCCGGGAGCGTACCTTCAAAATGTTTGAAATCAAGGGAATCTTAAAAGTCAGCCCACCCACTCCCCTGAAAATAGAAAAAGAAAAATTATTTCGAAATGGTGTTTGTTCCATCACCACTCCCGTGGTTACCAGTGGTATAGTCGATTCCACAGTTGGTTGTAGCAGTTGTACCGCTGGTTGTTGGAGCAGATGCAAGACCAGCCGCAGAACGGGCGTGAAGAGCCCCAGGATGGATTTGGGCGGCGCGCCTTTCGACGGTTGCGCCGTGCTGGCTGCGGGAGACTGCAGCGATGTTTGCCGCGGAAATTCCGGAATTACTAGCATCCAATGGTTCGTTTTGATACCGTAGTGGTTGTGATTGTTGTTGCCTATTTGGCCCACCATAGCAGGCTAATTTATCAGTCNTGTACAATCTAAATAGCTAATATACTTTTTTAAAAGCCAATAAGAACATTGGTAGAATTCTTCTACATAAGTACAATACTATGTCTTTGATGATAAAATACTGTGTCTTTGATGATAATATATTATGTCTTTGTGCTAGAACATTGTGTTCATTGGCGAGCGAGCCATGGTTCACGGCGTGAACCACATAGGATTGCGTAGCAATCCTCGGGGGTTGGCGAGCGTTAGCGAGCAGGGGGCGGAGCCTCCTAGTTTATTATAATAATTAAGCTCTTACATCCATAATAGTTTTAATATGATCCTCACTTAAAGTAGTAAAAAATATTTCTTAAACATTGCATAGCTACCCCTGTTGCACTAGTAAAAAGTGAAAACATGTAAAAGAAAATAAAGTATAAACATTTTTATATGTTTGTCGGATACTTATTACCTTAATTCTCAATTATATTAGTTCTTCTATTTTATGAATTAGCTGAATTGCTTATAAAATCATTTTCAGAACAATTAAAAGATCTCTTTCTTTCTCTGTATGAAAAAATCGTAAGATGCGCTACACTTGCTGTTTTGGGAGTCAAATTTAACGTTACATTTTGTTTTACTGCGCAAAAACTACATGAATTAGAAACTTGAGTATGTAAAAGAGTGCACAAGGAGTATAATCGAATAAAAAATCTGATATTTGATTATGAGTTTGAGAATTATCCGTTTTTAAACTTATGGTAAAATATATCATGTAAGCGGATCTGTTGCCTCCTGAAATGCAACTATGGAGTTCAAAATTTGATGTACCAAAAAGGCTATTTTCTTTCTAATTTGTTCGAAAGTTACTGCAATTTTAAATAATTTCTTATAAGAATTTTTTCCCCTGTTTTTGCTTTAAATAATGAATTTTGTTTCTCAGAAAATCAATTATAGAGGAAAATTTTATTCATTTCGTGATCTACATTTTATAGGCTTGTGCTTGACTTGATGTTTATAGTAACGGAAATACTGAATAAATAAATAATAAAATAATTTTCGAAAATTAAAAAAAAAAAACTTAATTATGTTCTGCACCAAAAAAATTTAAATATAATTTTGCGTGTAATTTATAAGAATCGAGTTGATATAGTCTCGCTTAATTTTCCAGGTATTATGTTCACTTTGTATAAAATTTGTCGTAAAATGTGTTGCAAGACTTTATTAGCAGATGAAAATTCGGCGATTTACTTGATAGCATTAATGTTATTCAAAAGCCCCCTATTTTTCATCGGCCTATCACCTATTTTTCATAATTCATGTACACTAGCCAGTTTTAAGGAATACAAAATGAACAAGAAAAGTATCATAAACTGAAGAAAAGTTATTAATAATCGATGAAATCTTATAAAAAATTTTCTTCGTCAACAAGCTATTTTTTTTAAAAAAATTATAAGAAAGTCTTGCAACATATTTTAAGATAAACTTGGTATAAAACGAAGATAATACCTGGAAAATTAAATGAGAATTTATCAATTCGATTCTTATAAATTTTACTTCTTACTCTTTTAAACAGAAGTAGTATTTTTTTTTTTTTTTAATTTTTTGAAATTATTTTACCTTTTCGTGTTAGGAATCGTGAAGTTTTTAAAAAAATTGCGTTTCACTTTTTTTCCAATATTTTCCTCATATTCATAAATTTGGCACTGATAGTAGATTTCAATTTAAGGTCAGAAGTTACGTATTTGTATTGCACATAACTAGCGAGAAAAACTTACATAAATCTAATTATCTGCTATCGCATATGATATCGCAGCAATTAATGCTTTCCTGGGATTCGTTGGAAATTTTTCTTTTAAGTAAAGATCGGAGTCTAATTCTTAGGAAAGTCTGGAGCCGGAGTTAGATTCGATGAATTCAACTACCGACTTCAAAGCTCCACTATGAAATTATGCACAAAACTGAAAGACAAGCACCGACAAAGTTAAAGCAACTACAAAATTTTAATTTTATTTTTTTCTACTGGTGACTTTACGTTATTAGATTCAACAAAACATTTTTTTGAAATTCGTC